GAACTAGCAGGTTTTTATGAATAACACACAGGAACTAGCAGGTTTTTATGAATGACACACAGGAACCTGCAGGTTTTTATGAAATACACACAGGAACTTGCAGGTTTTTATGAAATACACACAGGAACTAGCAGGTTTTTATGAATGACACACAGGAACCTGCAGGTTTTTATGAATGACACACAGGAACTTGCAGGTTTTTATGAAATACACACAGGAACTAGCAGGTTTTTATGAATGGCACACAGGAACCTGCAGGTTTTTATGAAATACACACAGGAACTCGCAGGTTTTTTTCTAGTCAAAACATAGTAGTGTTGTTCTATCAGTTGATAATAAGCAATAATTCACTGTTTAGTTTTAAATGTTTGTAAGACCAATTGAATTTTAATAAAATATCTTTTCATTCTATGGTATTAATAGTTATAACTTAGAATCATATTTTGAACAATTATAACAATCGTTTGTTTGTTTAATTTCGCGCAAAGCCACTCGTGGGCTATTTGTGCTAACCGTCCCCAATTTTGAAGTGATAGACTTGAAGGAAGGCAGCTAGTCAACACTACCCACCGCCAATTTTAGAGCTGCTCTTTTACCAACGCCCTCATGACTGAAAGGGCGAGCATGTTAGGTGATGGGATACGAACACACGACTCCTAACCACCAATCCTTGCTAGACTTTCTTAAATCGGTAAACTATTGATTAAAAAAAAACAACAACAAAAACATGGAAAAAGTAGTAAATAACAATAAATAAAAGCCCAAAATTAACATTTTTTATCCTGTGTATAATGACACCTTGCTCTAGTAAAGCAAACGGGAGATTTACCGTGTGTTTATATATATATATATATATACAGTGTTCTTTGCATCTAATTGTTCCCATGTTTCGTCGATAATATTTATATATACTTTTTCGTACATATTCATTTTCTTCCTGTCATTTTTGGAATAAAAACAGCCTGCCGAAAAAAACAATTTTTAGCTCATCTTAGTTTGCGTAATCTCAGTATAAGATTTTAAAACGAAGATAAGATTTTAGACAAAAAAGACAAACAAACAAACACACAAACACGTGTAAAAAAATGAACTAGTTTTAAACTTTTGAGGTTAAATAAATCAAATTTATTGATGTACATTCATAGATGATTACATATTTGTCGTATCTACTGCTTTATTAGCAGCTGTCCTGGACAGTTGCATAATAATTGGACAAAGGGCACTGACTCTTCGGGAGCCTTGGCACGTGCAAGCTATAAGTTCCTATTTCGGTTTGTACATCCCGAAAAAAAAAAACCAAAAAACTTCTTTCTAGGAATGGAACACTTACACATGAACACTTAAACACGAAGAGAACTGTTCTATTTATTCGATACTAACAACAATGTTTGTTTGTTTTCAAGATGTAGTGAAAGGTCGAGATAATTATTTACAAACATATATCTTTGTATCAAGTCAAAAAAAAAGAAAGTCAAATCCATCCTATGCCCCTAGATGGCGCGTAGGAGCTGAACTCCAGTTTCGATGGCACAAGCGAGCGAGAATGGTGACGCATCCACCTGGAGGCGATGCTAATTCATCGCGGGTTAACACCCATTATACAGCCGAGTAGACTGAGACAACTGGGATAAAGTGTCTTGCAAGTCTCGAACTCACCATTCTTCCGACTATAAGTCCAAACACCACTGATCTAAGATGCTCTCATACATTTATATATATATATATATAAGTTTAATTTTAAAAGTAAATACTATGAATATTGATTATCTTGGACGGTATCATACCTCAAAGCGTTCATCGTCTAGGCATTAACCCACGAAAAGAAATTTACATGCTATCAATCTCCCCCTAATTTCTGAACTCGGAGATATGCTACTAACACAAGGTGATTTTCTATCGAGATGTCTGTAGAAACGTTTAAGTATATGATAAAAACTGAATAAAAAAAAAGGAAATAATATTTTAATTAACGCAAACACAATAACAAACAAAAATAAACCTAGCGGGCTTTAGGCTCGCAAAATAAGAGCCTTTTCGGCCGTACATTTTATTATACCACATGGCAGACGACCCATTTACGTCTCTTACTTATAACAGACAACAAATAAAGACTTTTTCGGGTAATCCTCTTGTTACACCCTATGTACATATTTATAACACTTGCTATAAGGTCTAAGTGTGTTAATTGTGTTGTTTTATTTGTCTTTTTAGAGTTACTCGAAAACATTTTGTAGGAATTAAATATAGCTATGTATTTATTATTAGCCAGTAGATGGCGCAGGTGTTTTTTTTGTTTTTTTTAAGATTGACATTTCTTAAAGGAAGAACGCAAACTAGAAGTATCATATTTCTTTATATTCGAGACTTATTCTAGCACTTAACGTTTTCATGACAATGTTTCTAACGGTATGCCTCGTTACAATATTTCAATACTAACGAATCTGAACGAGACACACGTTGTACTTTAGTATTTGAGAAATTGTCTGGGGAACAAACATGGCATGTTTCGTCACATGATTTCGATAAGAAAGACAAAGAACGAAACAAACGTGATAAATACGTGAAACACTATAAACTATATTGAACAGGGCAAGCACAACGTGTCTTGTTAAAACATTTATATACTGAAGAAACCCGACGTAACAAACGTGACAACTATGTGAAACACTTTATAAACTATAGAAGCTGAACTGGACAAGTAGTTTGTCTTGTTACAACATTTTTATACTGAAGAAACCCGACGTAACAAACGTGACAACTATGAGAAACACTCTATAAACTATAGATGCTGAACTGGACAAGTAGTTTGTCTTGTTACAACATTTATATACTGAAGAAACCCGACGTAACAAACGTGACAACTATGTGAAACACGTTATAAACTATAGGATGCTGAACAGGACAAGTAGTTTGTCTTGTTACAACATTTATATATTGAAGAAACCCGACGTAACAAACGTGACAACTATGTGAAACACTTTATAAACTATAGATGCTGAACAGGACAAGTAGTTTGTCTTGTTACAACATTTATATATTGAAGAAACCCGACGTAACAAACGTGACAACTATGTGAAACACTTTACAAACTATAGATGCTGAACAGGACAAGTAGTTTGTCTTGTTACAACATTTATATATTGAAGAAACCCGACGTAACAAACGTGACAACTATGAGAAACACTTTATAAACTATAGATGCTGAACAGGACAAGTAGTTTGTCTTGTTACAACATTTATAATTTAAAGAAACTAAACAGGACAAGTCGTACTTCAGTATTAGGTTTGTGATTACGAACAAAACTTTTAAACGATTTGTTTCTATATATAAAGTAAGTATTAGTAATTTGTCTTGTCAATTTATGTATATATATATATGTATATTTTGAAACCTGCGTGGTTGAAGTTAGCAAATAAACACATGTATGTATACGCGCGCGCGCGTGTGTGTGTGTGTGCCTTTTTATCATATTGTTGATATTGTTTTTACTATTTTATTGGTTATATAGGTTTCTATTTGCAAGTGATAATATTAGATACCACACTGTGTTTTCATATAAGAATCTTTTTTAAATAATACTAAACCTTCTAAGAATTTTTTTCAGTCTGTTATTTTGTAAATCTCAACGAAAAAAATAAAACGCTATAAAAGTTTATGTTGAATTGGTTAATGATAACCTAATATATATATTTTTTGTTTGCTAATTTAATTTTCACATTCATAAATGCGTCTTCTTTTAAAGATATACGTTCCATCGCATTGCAACCACTGGTAATTAACTGTTGCTCGACTACTGGTATGATATTAGCAAGGTAGGTCTGAAATTTCCCAGTCCATATCTCATTTTCTTCCATTAAAACCTGAGACACGTGTTTTTTTGATTGTAATATAAAATGTTTAGGCACCGACGACTTTGTTTTGAACTTTTCAAATCCGCTCTCATTAGGGCACACCTGACAATGCCGTCTGAAGATTGCAGTCCTGTGAACAGAATTGAAAATTTGTAAGAGGATTGCCAAAGTTGTACTGTGTCGGTGGCGGGTTGTGGTTTGGTTGGGCAACGGACATACTTTGGCCTTGTCTTGCCGCAGCGGCACCCGAGACCATGGCACAAGAGGAGTAGGCTGGTATGCCGGCGAGTGGCGAGCCGAGCATAGAATTGTATACGGCCGTCGGTGACGGCTTCCAGTGCCCGGCGCAGGCGGAGGATCCCTGCACTGTCGGTGTGTGGTTTAAAGATGATGCTGTCGTCGTCGGTCGTGGGGCGATGGGTTGCTCGAAAGCTGTCATGTCTTGACCGTTGCGGTAGAGATGGTTTCTCTGGGCCAGAATACTGCGTTCGTTTCGCCGAAACTTTGCCCTTCGATTTTGGAACCATACCTAAAAAAAGGACAAAAAAAAAGGAATCACGACAAACTCAGAATAAATGTTCCCGAGAAATTAATAAATAAATAAATCACCCAGAATTGAAACTAATCAGTTAATTATGGGGAAGTATCCTTCAGATTATTTGGTATGAATGTTAGTACCTCCACCTCCCGATAGCACCCTATGAATGTTAGTACCCTTACCTCCCGGTAGCACCCTATGAATGTTAGTACCCTTACCTCCCGGTAGCACCCTATGAATGTTAGTACCCTTACCACCCGGTAGCACCCTATGAATGTCAGTATCCTTACCTCCCT